GTTCAGCTTCGTGTAGACGGGGCCTCAGAGGACACAATAGCCTCGAGTCCATGTGCTAGCTGGCACGCCACAAACAAAGACACAGCAAGCCACGGCCCGACCTCTAGCTAGCACAACACAAACACACAGCCACAGCCAGCCTAGGCCTCGTCAATAGAGGCAGACCAACAAACAAAGACACAGCAAACCTCAGCCCGTCCGCTAGCTAGCACAACACAAATAGCCCTAATGGTATCCAGCACAGGCTAAATGCACTTCTTCAGGAATTATCCAGTGCCCTAAGGAACACAGCAATACAAGCGCAAAAATAAGTTTTAAACACACTTACCACCACAGAAATGAAATCCTGCGGTCGACAAAATCCAGGGCTTAAGAGAAAAAATGCAAATGTTCTTTATGAACTCTGCTTTTTGCTCCTAAGATGAAAGCTTTAAGACAGTGAAACACTCCCTTAAAACGAGTCTACTATAGACAAAGAGCTACGGCAGAAACAGAGTATATACGGATCTTGAACTGACCAATAGCCTTGCGTCAAAGCACATCAACCAATCAGACTGCACATTAGCCGCCCGTTAGAAAAGATTTGAAAATAAACAAACCAATGGATGCTTCCAACCTACATGAGAACGTTACAATCAGGAATTAACCTCCAGTTTACATATTTGAAAAAAAATAGATAACCCACATTTAAATAAATATCTATTATAAATGCAAACAAAAATATACATTATATTTCAAATAATATTTATAATTCAATGATAACAACATTTTTCAAGACAATAAAATCATTTTATAGGAAATAATTTTATTTCAGTTTCACTCATAGTACCCATCTGTCTAATATAACACCATGTTTGCATTACAAAAAATAATTTTATATCCGGTCTGGACCTTTAAATGAAATGATTAAGCTATATATATATATATGTGTGTGTGTTTGTGATATAATAGGTGATTATTTATGACACCCCTCATTTTCTGGTGTTATAATGGCCAAAAATAAATAAATAAATACTTAGAAGTACATGCAAGATGACGTAATCTTACAAACCCATCACCTTAAATGTTTATTAATCCAATAAATCCAATTATTACCACTTACTGTGGGTCAGAAACTTGACTGAAACCATGAGATCCAGGTTTATGTAATTAATTAATTACTGTAAACGTAGCTTGCTGCCCTACAGTTTTAAAAATGCATGGTCTGACATTGCCTTCTGCTTTATCCAAATAGAAAATAATATTTCTAAATGCTTATTAAATATCATAGCTAAAATTTTATCTGCGACAAGCATACTAGGTCATGTTACAGTTTTTCTCAAATGCTGAAACACAAAAGCCAATCTTCTAAACCAAATGACCAGTTGTCTAAACACATTTACTAAATCTACCCATCATTTTCCAATATCATAAACACATTTCACATGAAGACACAATTCACAAAACACAATCCTCCATTCACAAAAATCTTAACACATTTTTCGTTGCTAAAACACAAGTTGCAAAAGAACTCGGCTCATATTCTCAAATGAAAG